TCATTAAAATGAATGGTTTTGGCTACCTTTAATTTTTTTATGAAATTTAAAATTCAGAGAGTTGGACATTTCAACAGAAAAATCTATACAAATAAGTTTTCATCACTGAAAACAAAGACATTTGGTGATGTAATGGAAAAAAATCTTATTTTTACAATACCTATCTTAAAACTCTTTGAATCCACAAATACTATCAGTGATAGATTTATGACCATTATATAGCAAAACCAGTGTCTAACATCTATCTATATATATATAACATATATATATATGGAACATATGGCTGACACTATATATGAAAGCAAAATTCTAAATGAAAGGATCAAACATAAAACTCAAACCACGAAACTTATATAAGATCTGTTAATAGAAGCTTTTTCCTTGAGAAGGAGCCGTTCCGCCCGCCTGGTTCCAGATCCGCATCAGTCCCAAATAAACACACAGGAGGCTATATTCATTATGAAGCTGCTGGCCTTGTTTGTCTCTTACTGGCTAGCTCTGCTTTAAGTAATTACCCCATAATTGTTAATCTAAGTATGTCTCTTACCGGAGAATAGTTCCAGGCTTCCTACCCCCAATGGCCTTACATGTTGACTCTCTTGTGTTTTCCCTTCCCAGAATCCTCCTCGACTCCTAGTCCATCCTATCTAGGTTTTCTATTGGCCAGACAGTACTTTATTGACAAATGCACAGGCAAATAACAGGACTTCCCCAACATCTCCTCTTTTTTGTTTAAACAAAAGAAAGGTCTTAATTTTAACATAGTCAAATTGTATATGACAGAACAGTTATCAAGTAAGAACATAGTTACAATATTTTAGCAAGATTTAAAGAAAATATCATCCATCCCATCCTTGTGAGTCAAAAGTTCTATATGTATCTTTTATCATAACTAAGGAAAACTATAATTATAACTATCTTCTTCAACTCCATCAAAGACCACAGAAGGATAATATATAAACACTAGGATTAACAGAGACATCTTACTGCCTGGACAGTCACCCGAAGTTCCTCTGTAACGTTGGGGCATCCATCTTCAGCCCATAGGCCACAATGTGTCTGGAACACTTCTCAGCAAAGCAGGAAATTTCAAACTGTCCATCTGCGTTGGCAGTCTGTCAGTCATTTTTCTTTGCCCTGCAGAAAGTCTCGTAGACTCTTCATGAAGCAGGAACCCTGTAAGACTGAGTTCAGTAGTCACTTTCCTGTGGGTCCTGCATGTCCAGTTTATACAACAGCAGTCAAACAGTCTAGGCAAGAGCAGTTTCTTGCCCAAATGGCTAATCTTGCCATGTTGAAAGCAAACTCCATAACAAGTTTCTTCGATGCCCATCTTCCTCTCAGACATAATTGGTGCTGCCAGGAGCAGACATTTTTCATTGTCAAAAAAACCCTAGACCATTTTAAATGCCATGTTCTGAAGGTCTTTGAGAGGTTTGAAGACTGTCTATCTGTCTCAAATATATTTCTGTATATCTAGAAAACCTAACTTACCTAACTATAAATTCTGTTATAAGTAACTATCTATAGTCTGTATTCAATTATGCATTACATTTTAGAAGATCAGTATAAGCACAATGCTTAATCAAGAGGAGAAATATAAACATCACAAAATTGACCTTGATTTTGTCTCAATAAATGAAAAGCAATACCCATACCGTAATTCCCCTTTTTACCATTAAAAAAGATTGGCTGTGATCACTAGCCAATTATAAACAATCCCATTTAAATGAAAACAAAGATTTATAAACAAGATGGGAATTGGGACGTCGCTCATTCCAAACTGCTTCCTGCTGGAAGGGGGCGCTGTTTATACCATGGGGATCATGACAAAACTCAGAAACCTGTATAAGTCCGTATTTTCGGGGTCTGTAAGGCTGTATCATCTTAGCTGTCTCAGTCGTTGGAACACCTGTTCCACTGCTTCCGGGGGTCTTGGTTCGTGAAACCACAAAAGCCTGGAAGGAATCCTTAGCTTTTCATTTTCTGTAGAAACATAAATAAAAACTCCTTTTCCAAGTAACATATCCTTACACTTAAATTTTGAAGTCAAGGCATTTTTAAAAGATAGAAGTTGGATTAATTCAGCAGCATTTATAATCAAGTGTACTTTAGCAGCAGTTCCTTCCTGAGCAAGCAAAAAATTGAAAAACACAATAGCGTACAGTATCCAGACTCTGTGTATTTTCCATCTTTACGTGGCTTATTTATTTATCTATTATTACTTTATTTCTTTCACTTTTATTTATTTTTCTCTGAGACAGGGTTTCTCTTTGGAAACCTGCCTGCCTCTGCCTCTGGAACAATCCTACCGGCGTGCGCCACCACAACGCCGGCTTTTGTATTTATTTACCACTTTGTCGTTTCAGTTTCTCTCTCAATCTCACATATATTTTTAAACACACTGTAAACCTTTAGAAGTTTTTCTTTATCCAAGTCTGACTTTACTGTAAATCTTTATGTTTTTCTGGCCACGTGTCTTATCTGTAAAACCGCGGCTGTTTTAAACTGCCGGGTTTTTTTTTTCGTCAAGATGGTGGGCGTAAGCGTGACTCCAGCTTACCGCCTCAGTCCATGCTGACCTCCAGCAAAAGCTGCCACTTCCAGCTGTACGTACACACCTTTCAATCGTTAGCAGAGTCTCTTAAACAACCTTGTTGGTTTTTTTTTTTCTTTTTCTTTTTCTTTTTATGCCGAGTCAGGAAGACTCCAGTAAGCGAGCCGCTTGAATCTCGGCTTGTTGCTAGCAAAACAGAGCACACCTGAGAAAATGCTGCTACCAAAATTCTGTGCTTCTCTCCGTTCTTCTGTTTCTAAAATTCCTTTAAATCTTTTGTTATTTTGTGTGGAAATTCATCATCCCACTCCTGATCACCATTTTGTTAAGAGAAGCTTTTTCCTTGAGAAGGAGCCTTTCCGCCCGCCTGGTTCCAGATCCGCATCAGTCCCAAATAAACACACAGGAGGCTATATTCATTATGAAGCTGCTGGCCTTGTTTGTCTCTTACTGGCTAGCTCTGCTTTAAGTAATTACCCCATAATTGTTAATCTAAGTATGTCTCTTACCGGAGAATAGTTCCAGGCTTCCTACCCCCAATGGCCTTACATGTTGACTCTCTTGTGTTTTCCCTTCCCAGAATCCTCCTCGACTCCTAGTCCCTCCTATCTAGGTTTTCTATTGGCCAGACAGTACTTTATTGACAAATGCACAGGCAAATAACAGGACTTCCCCAACAAAGATCACACTGGGAAGAATTTCTTTGGTTGGCCATGCCTCCATGAGAGTTCAACATTGCAGACAACAAAATTGAAACTAGACAAGTTGTTTTGTAGCCAGCTAGTAAAGTTCTGCGCAGCAGGTTAGTTCACACAGTGGAAAGCAAAAATTAAGGTATCTACAGTCTAGATGATTAATAACTAAAATGTGTGAACTATCTACAACTCAACAGTGTACTAAAAATAATTTGTATTAAATGTTTCAAGATTCAAATAGACATTTTTCAATGAGAACCTGTACATAGCTAAAGGGTAAAATAAAGTTCTATGCCACCACAGTGTCCTAATTGAAAATCAATGTTACAGTGAGACTCTCACCAACACTTGTTAACTAAAACGGCTATAGAGAGAAAATGGGTTGTCTTAGTTATGGTTTCTATTACTGTGATGAAACACCATGACCAAAAACACGTTGGGGAGGCAAGGGATTATTTGTCTCATCCTTCGCATAACTTCATCAAAGGAAGTCAGGACAAGAACTCAGACAGGACAGGAACCTGAAGCAGGATCTGATGCAGTGACCATGGACAGAATGCTGCTTACTTGCTTGCTCCCCTTGGCTTGTTCAGCCTGCTTTTGTATAAACTAGGTCCACCGGCCAAGAGATGGTACCACCCATTGGCCATCCCCGTTAATCACCGATTAAGAAAATTCCTTATAGATGGCTCTTGAGGTGTTTTCTCAATGGAAGTTCCTTCCTTTCCAGTTGTTGTTGTTTGCTACATTTCTGAGTGATGAAACACAAACCACAAAACTCAGCAAAACCCACGTCAAGTTTATTGGGAAAGGGAGAAAGTGGAGGGGTTGGGGTCAGCCGACCTGGAGCAGAAATAGAAAGAGCAGGAACAGGCAGGAGGCGCTTGCTTAAAAAACTTGCACATGCTTACAGAGTCCTTATGCAGCCACACAACACATAATGTAGCCACACAACACAGGACCGCTTGGTCTGTCTAAGTATCTGCCTGAATGCTGCTGTGCATACCCTGCCAGTTGTCTGGGGACAGGGTCACTGTAATGCCAGGACATCAATACCAGTTACGTAAAACTAGCCAGCACATGGGTGTTAGAAAACATGAAGGAAGAGAAACACTGTACATTATTGAGAATGTGTGTGACGGCAGCTATTATAGGAAACACTGTGTGGAGTCCTCCCAAAGTATTCATAGAAATAATTTTTGGTTCTTCTGAAAACTTAACTAGCAGACAATGGATTTGATCACAAGAGCATGTCTGTTACTAACGAGTTCTTTGTGATGGTACACACAATAGCAGCTCTATAGAAACAATCAAAATGTCTGTCAGTGCATGAATCCTAAACCAAAACAGGTTCCCACTGCATCTTTGCTCCTTTTCTCTTCCCTCTTAATCTTCTCTCATTTGTTCATGATTACACATAAATGATGAAGCAGGCACAAACACACAAACACATATCCCAAACCAAGAGACATTAATAGAGCTGTAGGAAAGGAATAGTTTATTCAAAGGCATTTATTTCACACACGCAATTTCCCTTCTGGATGAAGGTTGTGGAGACCTTCTCTATAAGCTGTCACATCGTCCAAATGAAGATGAGGGACAGGGTGAAAATGGTGCTGTCCATTCATCTTGCACCTAGTTGAATATGATGTTGGGAGACTTGAACATATTTAATAATTCATGATGTGGACCAGAGATACTGGAGATAGCAGGATATAGCCAATAGACTGAGCAGCTGTAGAGACTCTTCAGTAGATGCCATAGGACCAATACCTCCTATAACCCAGAGGGCAGCAGCAACCATAACCATAGCCACCATAACGGCCATAGCCACCGTAGCCACAGCCATAGCCATAGCCTAGACCACCATAGCCATAGCCAAGGCCTCCATAGTATCCACCGTAGTAACACATGGTGTCAGGAGTAGACTGTTCAGTTATGGACCAAAGGTTCCTTGAGTCTGGGTGTCATCCTCTGCCAAGGGCCTTTTATACCCTGGATGCTTAGTAGGAAAAACCACAGACATTATGGTGTCATACATCTCTCCTCTGTGCTTTTGAAAACATCACGAGTTGTGTGATTGACTGCACACATAGGCTGCATAACTGAGATAGTTGTGCTTTGGTGTCACAAATCTATTGTGAAATAATGAGTTATCTGGCATGAAACCATTTTTCTTTTTTTAGAGCATGTCTATGTCTATATTACTATACATTGTGTTTACTGAAAACAAATGATCTGATTCTTTCATAGAGTACAATCACTAAGCTAGTATTTTTCCTTCACATATTTTTTGCTTTCTGCTATCCCACAGTAAGGGTTTTGAGTTCGTTCTGTCCTTCCTCCCTCCCTCTCTCCCTTCCTTCCTTCCTCCCTCCCTCCCTCCCTCCCTTCCTTCCTTCCTTTGTATTGTTTTTATAAAATGAGTCTTACATGGAAGAATGTCTCCTGAGCCTTGCTAATACAGGATGGGAGAGGTGTGGATGAGTTTTGTTAAGTAGTAATTACCATTGTGTGTACACTTGTTTGGTGTGTATTTTGCTGGGGAAGTCCTGTGTATATGTCAATAAAGCACTGTTGGCCAATAGGGAAGCAAGATAGGTGGGACTAGGAGTCCAGGAGGACTCTAGGTAGGAGAAACATAGGGAGTCAAGATGTAGCTGCCATAGGGGTAAGAAGTTTGGAACTTTTCTCCGGTAAGAGAAATACATAGATTAACAATTATGGGGTAAATACTTATGTCAGAGCTATCCAGTAAGAAACAAGCAAGTCCAACAGCTTCATAATTAATACAGCATCGTGTGTGTTATTTGGGGACTACACCGCAGAGCCCAGCCGACTGGTGGGGAAAAACCAAAGTGGCTGGCAAGGAAAAGGCTTCACTCAACACTCCTCCCTCCCTCCCTCCCTCCCTCCCTCCCTCCCTCCCTCCCTCCCTCCCTCCCTCCCTCCCTCTTGTCAAGTGCGATGTCAACATAATCAGTTGAGGTGTGAAGCAGGGATTGCCTTGTTTGGAGGCACAGTGCTAAGGAATTAAGCTCAGATTCACAGTATCAAGGAAACAGCAGTCAAGTGTTGCTATATAAAGCAATGAGAATAAAGACTGTTTTGATCGGTAAAAGTGACATTTAAAAGTTAGAAAAATGGGGTTATACTGACTATTATATCAGGTGTAGCAGTAGATCGTGAGTAACACTGAAGCCATATTTCAAATGACCAAAATAAAAAGAGCTGACATTAAGATACGGAGTATTAGGTGTATCAAACGTCAGAAGATTTTCAGAGACCATGTTATTATTTGTTCTTCAGTATTTCATAAGTATTATTGTCGTTTCCTTGCAAGTTTTGTACAGCATGATTTGATCATATTTGCTCATTTCCCCTAACCCTACCAGATCCACTTCCTTTCCTATCATCTCAGTTCAGTGACCTCTTTTATTTTCCTATAACTATCCACTCTAATTCGCCCTGCCCACTGGACAAACTCTCTTGAGGAAAAATGACCCCTCCTAGAAGCTATAATTGCCAGTAGCTACTTGTCTAAGGTTTAGACGTTGTGTCCTCCTTTTCTCCATGCTGGGATTTTTCTCTGTTTTGAGCTAGCACAGGTGCTTTGCATGCTGTCATAACTGCTGTGAGTTCATAGGTACAGCTGCCCTGCTGTGTTCAGAAAACTGTTTCCTTGTGATCATTCACTGTCTCTTTCTCCTTATGGCTATAACACTGTTATTTTTTTCTCAGACCTACACATGCAGACCCATACCAAAACAAAATATCACCACACATAACTATGAAAAATCATCTTTTCCTGAAAGTGGTGCTAACTGAGGGCAAATATAATCCAGTCACTTTAAAATAAATTAGTTTACTTTTATTGCTATGATTATGTTTCTTATTGCTTTGCTTTTTCTCTTGTGGCACTATGTGCCACAAATTGTAACTAAGTCACAAAGTCATTTAAAAATATGAAACTATTTCTTAAATTGATTTAATTAGAAACATGCAATGCTAAGGTAAAGAATGAATGCCTCCAATACATTTGTATTAGGGGAATGTAATCTTAATTCTCCTAGCAGCTGAAGTGCACAAAGGGGATAGAAACCTGAAATAAAGCGCATGTATTTATTCTTTGTTAAATGTTAGAAGTAACAACTATTAACTGCTTAAATTTCTCTTTTTTTGTGACCAAATACCTAACAGAACAAATTAAGGGGAGGAATTCTTTATGTTGCGGATGTATTTAAAAAGTCTTATTCTGTGTGCACTTGTGTGGTTTTGTGAATGTCTGCCATGGTGTGTATGTACCCATAGGGTTTGGAAGAGAGCATAGGATCCCATGGGACTGGAGGTACAGGCAGTTGAGAGGTGCCCAATGTCAGTGAACTCTTAGCTGCTCTTAACTGCCGAGCTGTCCCTCTAGCTCAGGAATGATTTATTTTGGCTTACATTTTTAAAGGACTCAGTCCATGACTACTTGGCCCTGGGAGCTAAGTTGAACCTTGTGGAAGCACAGTCATGCACATGCTGTTTATCTCATTGCAGGCAGGAAGTGTAGAAAGAGGAGCAGACCTGGTATCTGTTAGGACATCCAAAGGCGTGTCCTTGGTGATTTACTTCTAGCCAAACCACACCTACAAAAACACTAGTATTTATTAAGATAACGGTTTATACAGTAAATGATAGGATATGCAGATGAGAAACTCACTTAAACATGTTCAAGTTCTCACAGTAAAACTGAGTATGTATAAAAGGAGTTGTTACAGAAAAACAAAAGACACAATTATACACACAATTGGAGATGTCTAAGCTATCCCCAATAAACCTAATACTAGATCTATAACTATTTTTCCTATAATAAAACAAAATGGAAATGAACTTCTTCAGGTTAGTGACTTTGAATTACATGGGTTTTCCTTGTATATGCTTGTGTCTGTAGCTAATTCTCAAACTGCAAGCCAAATTGAGGTTAATGTGAGGTTATAGTTGTTGGCATTATGCTGTGTTTTCTGGAATTATCTTAATTTTACAGTAGCTGTGCCGTACTGACTATAGCTTGTGTGCTCATGTGTGTGTGATGAACCATGTTGTCATAGGGACATGGTGGACCTCTTTTGATCTTTCTCAATATTGTCTAAAAGACTGTGCTCTGTGAAGGCAAATCTTTACTCAGATAACACCATGTTACATGTTCTGTGTCAGAGGATCAGGATAGATGACCTCTGTGGAATCTCTCTAGATCCACTCGTCAAAGTAAAGGCATGTCTTGAACAAAGAGAGAACAGAAGAGTATTTTTGTGAAATCTTGCATCAGATGAATAAATACCACCATTGGAACAGAACACACAAAGGAACCATCAAGTGGATACATTTAATTGTGTGTTAAAGTGAAATACTGTTCTTTTTGTTGTTGTTTATAAAGGAAGTTTATATCAATGAAATCTAATTTTCCAATCAGTTAGACCCAAAATGCTTTCATTGTAATAAACAAGAATTTATTCAATAACTTTATTATTGAATATGTCATATTATATATTAAAATATTAAGATTGTATGTCATTTATTATTATTTTTCATGTGAGTCCATGATGTTTTCAGGATTCGATTGTATAAATTTGAAAGACAGGTTTTTCAAAAAGTTACTGCTAAAGGACCTTGAGGTAAAAGAGAATGTAAACATTATAATATATATTAGTTTTAATATTTCTCATTGGATTATATATATAAGTATGCATAAACACACACATATATATATACACATTGCAGACTTTCTGTGTATCATTATTTATTTTATTAAGGACTCTTTTATGCATGCATAACAGTATATTAAACTGTAGAGCTTCAGGAACATACCCTCAAGATTTAATAAGTGTCAATATTCTGCCATCGGCTCTCCCTATTCCTGTATAATTTTTAAAATCAAAGCTTTTCATGACAGAATTTTCTTATGAGTATTTTATTACAGAAGAAGTTTCATGTATATGTATAGCCATAATTCCATTTCCACACCAATGATGTTTAACAAATGATGGCATCCTATACAATGTAATTCATGTTAAATGTTCCCCCAAAAGCTTCAGAAGCATATATTGTACGGTTATTTTTTGGTTAAGACTCATATTACATCTAGATATATATTTATATTCTTTTTAGAGTTATAATAGCCTGTGGGATGATTGTTCCCCCAATGAAGCATTGGCTACTGGTGGATCTTATAGGAGTGATGTCCATTGTCTCCACTGGTTTATCTAATACTGAGTCTACCAAGTTCAAATGGATAGTCCTTAAGTCCTCATCATGCAAATGAACCTCATTGAAACCAAATGAGCAAGGAGGGTGGAGAGGGAGGGAGAAAGAGAGAGAGAGAGAGAGAGAGAGAGAGAGAGAGAGAGAGAGAGAGAGAGAGAGAGAGAGAGAGGGAGGGAGGGAGAGTGTGTGTGTGTATGAGAGAGAGAGAGAGAGAGAGAGAGAGAGAGAGAGAGAGAGAGAGAGAGAGAGAGAGAGAGAGAGAGATATGAGAAAGGGACTAGCAGGAAAGGGAATGGTGACAGGAAGGAGAGAAATAAGAAAGGTAAGGGCTACCTCACCCAGAGTAATTGTTTCAGCTCCATTCATTTATCTGCAAATATCATTTCTCCTGATATCCACATAATATTTTACTGGGTAAACATTAACAAATTTTCACTATTCATTGATCAATGGATGGGAAATCCAGAATTTTTTCCTATTTCCTGGCTGTTGTGGAAGGAACTTGGACAACCATGTGTATCTGTGGTAGGATAAAGAATCTTTAGAGTATAGCTGGTTCATATGGGAGGTCTACTTAAAAATTTTAGGAGCCTCTAGTCTACACTAATTCTCATACTGGCTGCATCAATTCGCACCCCCCAAACAGTGAATAAGTGTTTCCTTTTCC